TTTTATCTCACTTATCGATAAAAACAAACACATTGACATAATTTCCAAAAATAGAAAGATAATATAACTTGGTTAATTGGACTTGTTTAATTGAGGAGAATACTCCTATTGGAAAATTTGGACAGATACACAAATGACTTTCGAAAAAATGTGACACCAATTAAAAAAATTTAGAAAAATATGTATTAAAATTTGTTCTAAACATAAATATAAAAGTAAATGATAAAAAAAATAAAATAAAATTTCTATGTATATTATGTATAACTTAAAAAAAATATAAATATTGTAATATAAAAAAATATTAATATCATCATACAAAATTAAATAATATATTTAACTATTATTAATAATTCTCAAGTTTACAATTAATATATAACATATCTTTTTGAAAAGGGTTTATTGCAAGTAGTATTAATTATCTTGTATGGAAGATCGAATAAACCAAATCACAATCATTTAGGTTGTTATTCTTAAATAAATTAAAATACGGTCTAATAATGATTATAACTTTCCCGTAATATTTGATTATATTTATAATTTTAATTTTTTAATCTTTTTTCACTTTTTCCTATTTATTATTTTCCTCCAAAATTAATTATTAAGATCCACATTCTGACATTGTTAGTGAGATTCAATCCCTATCAAGTGAGGCAACTAAAAATGAAGTTATTTTGGTGTATATATAGATTTGTGGTGAAACTTTTTATTTTTTTTTTCTGTTTATCTAAACATGTAGCTGTTGAAAGAAAACAAAATATCTGTGTCTGTACGTAAAAGCTAGGTTTATGGTAAGTAAAAAATAATAAAAGGAAACCACAGAGTCTATAATAAGCATTGGAAGTGATAAATTGGAGCCCATGCTTACCTAGAATATCACTTCAAAGTAACAGTGGATGTAAGGTAGTTGTAGTTGCCAACATAACATTCATTCAATCATCTCTTAAAATGTTATAACCATTTTATCTTTTTAGAAAAGCTGTTTAATTGGAGTTATGGGGTGGGGTGGTCCCGCTCCCTCTACCCTCTACAAGTTCCAGTTGTTATTTGGTTAATAGCCAAAGTTTAATGGATTTAATAAATAGGTGCTGTCAACAATCATATCACTCAAAAACTAGCATATTAAACTCATGAAAGTAACTATTTCCTTCAGAACCTTCAGAGTCGTATTGCAAAATATTACGTGGGGATATCCCCCATATCAGTTGTGCACAGAATATTAATTAGAAACCCTATATTCCATTTGAATCAAATTATTTGAAAATGATCGTACAGAATATGAACAAAATCAAAAGGAGAGGCCAAAAGGGTTGTGTGACTAGGAGTTTACTCTATATGGTTGCAAAGTCACTGTCTATAACATGGAAAGAAGAAAAGCAAAAAGAAAATGAGAGCAGTAGAAGTAGAAGGCTAAAGAGAGAGATATGGAATGATCTTTGTGATGTATCTTTGGAGATACGGGTAGAAAATTAGTGCAAGAAGATGATTACCCGTAAGACTAGGGAGTGTACCACTGCGGCTGTGAGGTCTCTTTAGCTAGGTCACACTCTCTTGTGAGGTAAGCAGTTCAGTATTTTAGATGATAGAGAGAGAGAGAGAGAAAGATGAAGGACTTGGCTTGGAAAATCAAGTTTTGTATATAAAGGTAGATCAAAGAGAAGAATGTGACCATTAAAAACAATGAAGAATGTATGTATCTGTGTGTGTGTGTGTGTGAGAGAGAGAGAGAGGAGAGCAATGCCACATTGGCATGTAAATGCATGATAAGGAAAGGCAAATCTCATGATGGCGGTGTCAAAATCAAGCAAATTATGAAATCTGAAAAAGTTGAAACGTAGAGACACGTACACGAAGGATTGAATAACGTTCAAATCAGTAGTATATTTGTTTCCAATGTTTTTGTTTTGTATGAACCATCAAATGAACGAGACTGTTACAACAGAATGAGTTCAGAAAGGAAAGATTGAATAGTTCCATCCACACTAGTTTCCCTGATTGGTTCGTTTTTATGTAAAACTTGTACAATGGTACTATTTTACTGTAGAGTTATATGCACTAGAGGGAAGAAAAAAAGCACTGCTAAATTCTTCTCTTTTCATTTCCCTACACACATACCTTTTTATCATTATTTTCAATTTTGGACTTTTATTCATGCAAACCAATACGGCAATATTGCAGTGAAGATGGTTCATATATATATATATATATATATATATTGAGTTGATTTAATTAAAAAATAAAATAATAAGATATATATATATACGTGATGATTAAAATGTGCTAAAAGTTCATTTCAGCACTTTCCTCTTCATATTTGTAGATGCAGGGAAGAGGTGGAGATGGGTTACAGACAAATGGCATAAAACGTTGAAAGCTGAAGCGCAGGGCAAAAAATGATGGAGCTTTCGAGTTCTGATCTCAGCCCAAGATAAACACAGAAAAAGCTCCAGAAAGCGTGACATCCCTTGCATTTAATGCCAAACCATTTAATTTTTGGGGCGCGTGCTCCCTTCGATAAGGACCTGTACCATCACTAATTCTATTCTTCATTTATATGCTTTTTCATTTTTCTTAAAATACTAGTTCTTCGTATAATTATTTTATTAATACAAACTAAACTAGTATTATTGATTTTGTTTATGTTAATATTTATTCAAAATATACTCACCTTCGTTAACGCCATGTTTGACTACGAGAAGAGAAATAGAAAAATGAAAAATAAGATAATAATTTGATTAAAATTGGATAGATAAAAATATAATTGAATATTTAACTTTTTTTTTGGTAGAGAAAAAAAATGCGAGGAATAAAAAAATTTAGAAGATAAAAAAATAATAGTAAAAGTATATAACAAACAACAATACAATGAATTTCACTATTTTTAAATTATTTCTTTCTTCCACCCTCACGCACTATATTAATTCTCACCCTTCTATCTCATTCTTTTCTAATCTACCAAACACGCCATATGAAAGTCGCTTCTTGTCATCCACATTTAAACATTTTTTTAATTAAAATATTAGTTTTTAGGAAATTTACGTGAATGAATATTGTCAGACTAAACCATATTTAGTAATAATTAGTTAATTAATGAAAACTAATACTTCTTCTATTTCGTAATGATTTTTTTAAAGTTTTGATACACTGCTTAAAATTATTCAATCAAAATGATTTTTCAAAAAAACATATTTGACATTACAATTACTTTTATATTTTTTTGGTATTGCATGAATTTAATTAAATGTAAGTCTATTCTTAGAGCAGTAGTAAGACTCATTTTTTAGTTTTTGATTTATTTTGGTGTGCTCTATAGAAAATTCCAACTTAAAGCTTTTAATTATTTTAAATGAATTTTATTTTTATTATATGATTGAAATTATGTTCTGATAAATTTTCGTTTAAGTCATTTTCTTCTTTAGTTGAAGAAAGAAAACAAGACTAATTAATTTGTAGCTTAAAAATTTCTAAGAATCACATTAGAAATTTATATTGCGTTAAGGTGCAGTATGGCAAGAAGTTGAAAAGTGCAGATTATACACCAGAGAGAAGCATAAAACTTTAATATGTGATATTGTCATTTTATACTGCATTAGTAATTAAATATGAACAAGACAGATTAGTTAATATTTATAGGTTGAAATATCAATAAATAAGGATATTATTATTAAAATCATTAATATTCTAAGTGACAAATAAATTATAATAGAAAAGAAATGTCAAAAACAGAAAATGAGGGAGAAGAAAGTATTGATACAGGAAAAGAGAAGAAGAAAATGAATTTTATGTCTGGTTGAAGATAAATAAGTTGAAAGGTACATATAACCAAATCAGAGTTTGAGAAGAAGTGTTTATATTATTTTTCTGTTTTTGGTCATTGCTCTGGTGTTGATAGTGCAGGCTTGTGAAGAAAGACTTACAAAAGAGCTTTCAGGATCCCTCTTCTCTCACCACTGTATACTGCAAATCTTTTTCACATACGACGTAGTCTTCATTGCGCACGCATCATCACTATTTCTTCCTCTACTTCACAACTACAACTTCAAAGGCTCTTCTTCCTGAAATACCTACAGAATATGCCCACCAATGCAAAACATAAAAAAACCAGTTTTAATTTTTGGTTTTATTTTTCTCTCCTGTAAATATTTATATAAGAACTCGAAACGTACCCAAGAATATTAACCTAATGGAAAGGAAAATTCTAAATGTGCGTAAATAAGTTGATGAAAAATAAGAAAATGCGTAAAAGAGAATTGAAGTAAAGGTGAGATGAAAAAGAAATTGAAAATGTATCAACATAAGATCTACATGCTTCTTCATGCACTGGTTGGGAATCATGCACAATAAGTCACATATACATTTTCACCCTCCCTCCACGTCCTCATTTTAAGTACAGAATATCTTGGTAGCTAATGGTAGAGTAGGGTTTATATATATAAATATAATGTATACATGTGTGTGTAGGGGCCATGTCTGATGTCTCTCCCCATCAAAAGAAGAACCTATTGGACTCCCAAATCACAACCCGCATCATTAATTCCATTGCCATTCATTCATTCATTCAGAACATCTACTTTTTCTTTTCTTCCATCCAATATATCATTTCATATCATACCTCATTTTTCTACCTTTTCTCACTGCGTGTGTGAGTATGTGTGCAAATACTTTATTTCATATATACCTGGTCATGCCTTTTCGTCCAAGTAATTCCTGACAGTACCCTCACTTTCTAAGCTCTCTTTTGTCCCTGCCCTTTTTATGAACACCACTCTGTCAACCTCAGTCCTTCTCTCCCAGATATCTTTTGTGATTTTCTCTCTTTATCACTCCATGTACTATGTGCATGTGCCTCATCTATCACACCTATTATGAGTTTATAACCCCCTCATCACCTCACCTTCATTCCCTCCAATTCATGCACTCTCCCTCACCTTACCTACCCTCTCATTCTCTTATCCAACAAACACCACTCTTTTTTGTTTGCTTCTCTTTGTTTTCAGTCCATCATGGAACCTCAACAACCACAAGGGAGCCAACCAAACGAGGATGGTGGCAGTGGAAAAGGGGGGTTTCTGAGCAGGCAAAGTAGTACACGGTGGACTCCCACAACCGACCAGATAAGAATATTGAAGGACCTTTACTACAACAATGGAATTAGATCCCCAAGTGCAGAGCAGATTCAGAGGATCTCTGCTAGGCTGAGGCAGTACGGTAAGATTGAAGGCAAGAATGTCTTTTATTGGTTCCAGAACCACAAAGCTCGAGAAAGGCAGAAGAAAAGGTTCACTTCTGATAATGTGCCCATGCAAAGAGCTGCTCCAACTAATGCTGCTCCTTGGAAACCTGATCAAGATCCTATTCATACCAAGTATTCTAACATTTCTTCTACTGGTAAACCAACCTTATATACTACAAACCCCCACTTCTTATCTCGACTTACTTTAACCTGCTCCTTTGGGGACTAGAAGAAACAACAAACTAGTTTTTTTTTTTCATTAAATATATGTCTTATCTTTATTGTGGCTATGTGTATATATGTAGGGATCTCTTCTGCATCATCTTCTTCTGTTGACATGGTTCATGTGGGGCAGATGGGGAATTATGGCTACGGTTCTGTGCCCATGGAGAAAAGTTTTAGGGTAAGTTAAAATCACTCCTAATTTGGATTTTATATATGAAACTGAAAAGACCTTCTATAATTTTTCAATCTACTCAACCCTCGAATGAATTTCTCTCCTATCGTTGCTTATCAATGCGCATGTAAGCTTTGTGATGCATTAAAATGGAAAGTAATATCAATGATCCATCACGACTTTCATGCATCCATGTGTAGTGCACAAGTAAGTGATAGTCTACCATACACATGCTATCTTATTTAACAACGAAATGTAGCGACGATCGGTTATTTACACCTTTCATTACTTCAAACTTCCATAAAAGGGAGAACCAATCCCACTGGTCTCTTCACTTTTCTAAAACGACAAAGCGATTTCATGAAATAAAAGCTACATTTCTCTTGAAGCCACATACTCGAGTCGAGAGAATGATCAAATACAGATAGCATTCAAAGTTCAAACAAGAGCTCACTTGCTCATAATTAGTGACCAGATTTAGAGATTACAAGATACCAGATTAGAAATCCTTATACAAGACATGAACCATTTTGAAACCTTTTAATCTTTCAGGACTGCTCAATATCTGCCGGGGGTAGCAGTGGCCATGTTGGAATAAACCACAACTTGGGATGGATCGGTGTGGATCCATATTCCTCAGCCTACGCCAACTTCTTTGACAAAATAAGGCCAACTGAAGAAACCCTGGAAGAAGAACAAGAAGAGGATGGTGCTACTGAGATTGAAACTCTCCCTTTATTCCCTATGCACGGTGAGGACATTCATGGTTATTGCAACCTCAAGTCTAATTCTTACAACTATGATGGAAACGGCTGGTATCATACTGAAGATGGGTTCAAGAATGGTTCTCGTGCTTCTTTGGAGCTCAGTCTCAACTCCTACAAATCTCCAGATTTCGCTTAAGTATCCACATATATAAAATATATATATACCCAACTTATTAATTATTATAAAGTGATAATGATAGTCTTTCCTAATTGGCTATTATTCTATGATTAATTGTAGTTATTAATCTCTGTGAGTGTGCATGTTTAGTCAGTTATGGTTAATCAGTGGACAAATGTAATGATCTCTTCAGTTAAAGAGCTGTTCCGAACCTGACACATGTCATGAGCTGGAACTTAATGGACTGACACTGACTTATTAGTCATAGTTATCTTATTTTGTCTATATTGGCAAACATTCTTTCATTAAATTGCTAATTGAAATGATTGGCCTTAGAAAAAGATAACAATAACTAATAATATTGATGATGCCAAACTAAACATAAACAAAGCAAAGAACAAAGAACAGTACTTGTTCGCATGCAGCGACCCACCCTCACAATATTGTAATGTATTTGAATTTGAATAAAGATTTAAGTTTTCATCATTTTTTAGTCTTTCTCCACAACCACCAGTAAACAATATCTGAAGCAGCCAGTGGAAATGCTGTGAATTTTTTATGAATAAGTGATGCAATAATCGAGCATAGCTTTTAGTATTAAATTTTAGCATAATATGTTGTATTTGAATCTTTTACTTATTTTCTACACAAGTGAAATTATGAATATTATCTTCTTCACAACTCGCTTCGTGTTCGTCCTATTTCTAAACTAGTTGGTGTCATTAGTTCATTGGCGTCTTGTCCAAAACAAGGTATTGTAGGGTTAGATAACTTGGGTGCCATTTTGCAAGTCCATATTATTTTTGCTTACTGATTAGTGATAATTTGTATGACTGTATCATTGTCATTCTGTTCTTATGTTCTAAATTTCACATGGAATTTCATGTAGTTATTGTTAGCACCAAATAATATTTGTATTATTCTATAGGTTGTCATTGAGAATCTGAATAAAGCATAAACAATTGGTTTGAGTGTGTATATAAGTAACCCTAAATAGATTGATCTTTACTGAAATCTGAAACCTTAGATTCCAAAACATAATTGTGTCCATAACTTGCTAAAGATGTTCATTTTCAGTAGTATTTGAAGAGCTTTGATAGTTAAGTTACTAAAAAAGATTCTATACATATATCCAAAAACGAGTAAAGGTTTGCGACAAGCAAAATAAACTAAATTCACGAACAAATCTGTGGGAGGATAACATTATAAAAAAATACTAGTAATTAAAAATATAAAAAGTGATTTACAAAATCACGTTATATGGTTTGACATATATTATCGAATATTAAGTATGATTATATTTTTTACTATAATTCCTATTTTTGTTTAAATTACAATGTGAGAAACCACATTTTTTTTCTCATAATAACAAGTGCGTTTGTCGAATTTTCTTTATTATGAATGGAGATAAACTACTTTTTATATTGTTGAAACATATGATAATAATTTGTAATTTTTAACTAAGTGACAGAGGATTCAAATGCTAGTAATATCACTTTGTATTTGGAATAATGGTAGGAGGAAAACATATATCTTTTATACATTACTTTTGATGATAAATAAAATAAAATAGAAACATATTATTTTATGCATTAAACTAAAATTATGGACGAAATTACATATTTTTTAACTTTCCTGATTACTTTTAATGATAAGAACATATTATTATACCCATTAAACTAAAATTATGATTCAACAAAGTTGATGATTGAAGGATTTCGAAGTTAGATTTCTATATATTTTCACATTTTTTGCAAAACATGGGAAGGGAGTTTTTTTTTTTTTTTTTTTTTATAATTATTCTTTTATTTTTCATACTTGTTGTACGGCCATTTGATTTGGTCTTGGAGAAAAATCGTATTTAGGATTTAAGGTTTAAATTTGTGATTATAATTTGTTAGTAAATTTGTAATTAATTTTTTTATTTATTTCTAAACTGACGCTGTAATGAAAAAAAAAAACATAAAAAATTCCATTTTTTTTATTCTCTCAACTTCTTTATACATTCACCTTCACTATATTTTCAATTATATGACATATACTTCCTTTATTATTTATAATTTTTTCCAAATTCTTTATATTTTAAAATTTTATTTAATATGTTATTTTAATATAAAGAAAATAAGTAAAATATGACTTTATTAAAAAAGAAGAAGAAAAATACATATTGTTTATTAAAAATATAAGGAGGATAAATTAGAACGAATATAAAATATGTATTTAAAAGTAGAGAGATACAAGACACATTTAGTTTAATATCTAAATACATTTTTCAAAAAAAAAAAAAAATTATTTTTTGTTTTGTTTTTACCTTTCTAAGTTAAATTAGAATGAATATAAAATATATATTTAAAACTAGAGAGATACATGGCACATTTAGCATAATATCTAAATACATATTTTTTAAAAGAAAACTATTTTTTTCTAAGATAACTATATCATTTTATTTATTTTTCTTTATAATTTACACATTTTATCAAATAATTGTAAACTTTATATTTTATCCTTTTATCATTTTCCGAAAACATAGAACCAAAAGTCCACTTTTTTCTTTGTGATATGGGTACGGATACAATGCAAATGGCCAATCAAAAGTAATCATTCCCGAAATTACGAATATTCACCAATATCTATGACTGTTCGAAAAATAAAAAGAAAATATTTTGTTTATTTCAATCAACAAAAATAAAAAAGTAAACCAAGATCATAAATTTAATACAAATTAATTATTTTATTTCAATAACATAAAGTGTAAAACACAGAAAAAAAAAAAACTTGTAGAATGATAATTTTAAAATCGAATCGGCGATTGTAAAATTGCGAAGAGGTTGTTGGGGTGTGTTTACACGTTTATTTGCAGCGCGTGAGATCACAGAGATTTACGTGGGGACCACTGAGGGCTTATCCGGGTTGGGCAGTGTTGTGGTCTTAAGTCACTGACAACTTGTACGGTAAGTTTGCCCTTCTTCTTTATTTGTCTTCTCTCTCTCTTCATCTCATGCTTCAGCTTTATCTTTCTCTGAGCATTTTATGGCGTTAGCTCTCTAATCTCTATGCAAAGTAACCATGACATGACACACATTCACATTGATATGATATGACCACCATAATAAATAAAAACTGAGAATTAAGAACAATAATTTATTCTATATATATATATATATATATATCAGATTGAGAATCCATGGGGTACTGTGCAAACTACCACCCTGCAACTACAAGAGTATATATTTTGAAGTTTGAACCCAATTCGACAATACCACATACCATAATATTCTCTTGGAAAATTTTAAAAATATATTTTTGTAAAATTAATTATTTTTGTTTCTACATCATTATTAATGTTTAAAAAATTCTTCTAATGTTCTTCTCTGTGCAGTGAATAATTTAATGGTACATGTCCATCACAGTCCCCTTGCATGCCCTTTCGAGTTCAACAATTTATTCCTTTTTCCCACTGCAACTCGTCACCTAACTATGGTAACATTTGACGCTTCCCCGTAGTAGATATCAAGTGTTATCACTGAGCAAAGTTATTTTTTAGTCTGAACTTAGCTCATAGCAATACTCTGTTGAATGATTGATATATAATTCAGTGTTTCAAGTTTAAAAGAGCTATTACTATATCAATATTATAATTGTGATTGATATATTGCATATGGAGAGTTTGAATCTTAATATTTATATCAATCTAGTTTAAAACAAAGATCAACGATTACTTTAATTTATAAAAATAAATTTACATTTAATTTTATAAAATTGTAATTAAAAATATTATGTAGATTGGACGAAGATTTTGATAACAACTTGTAAAATAGAAAAAAGAATTAACTTCATACACAAGTTTTTTTTTGTAAGTTAATTTTTTTTACAATATTTTACATAAATTAATTTTAACTTATAATTTTATAATTTTTTATAAATTGTTATGGAAATATCACGAATAATAAAGTCTGCGACAGATATTTTGAAAAATAAAGAAAACAAGCATGCAATGAAATGTGATTTCTTTTTATGTTTTAGCTTTGAAAGCAAATATTAGAATTTTAGATCACATTCTCATATTTGGATTTGAAACCTCTTGATAAAACAATCTCAAATTAATTCTTCAAATAGTTTAGCTTTGTGAAAACTTAAATATGATATTTTCACTATTATATATGTTTATACACACCTTACATTTTTATCATAAAATAATCAAATAACTTCTTCTGGTATCCTCTTTTTGACATGACATTTTACGAGAGGAGTGTTATCAGTTTAAGGAAAAGAAGGGTGTTTTTTTTATTTTTAAATATGGTGGTGGGTAATGAAACTTGCTCAAAGTGCTTAACGATGAGTGTGTGATTAGTAGTTCACGTGGCACTTCTCTATTTTGGTGGTACCTATGTGATTCAGCATGCGCATGAGAAAATCTTGAGGTTATGGAAGAGTGGTTCCGTGTGAAGATAAAAGATTTATAGCCATTCCATAAGATTCACACAGCATGTGCAAGAGCACGAGTGTTAACAGAGAACAAAAAAACTACGTAGTAAGTAACCAAGAGATTATTCAACAATCACAGCACAACACAACGACCTCCAAAATATTCTGTTCATTTTGGTTGCGTCTATTTGCATTCATTTGGTGATTGAACAAACGTCAAAGATTGGCATTGGTGAGTGTTGGATGGAGGCTTTCCCTTATTTGGTTCCACATAAAAATCACTTCTTTTTCCCTCAAAATGGTTACATGTGGTTTAGGGTATAAGGGTGTCCATATACTTCCATTATTGACTGATAGGGATTTAGCTGCAAATCCGAGAAGATCTTTGAAGCTTTTTCAGGCATCAAATACGTAATGTCCTTTTGCAGCAACTACAGCCATAGCATTCACCAGATTCGTTCATATAACTTCTTTTACTTTCATCTCATACACAAACAAACGTATCACATTGTAATATATTACTTTTCCTATACTTCATTTACTTGTTCATTTTATCAGTTTTTAATGAACATGATATTTATCAGTTCCTATTA